CCTTCCCAATCGCTCATACAATGAGTTTCTGAAGATTGCTTAGGAAATAGCATCAAAATCCTGCTGCCCTGGCCTTTATTTGTCACCTGGAAGGAGAGGAATTTGGAGAAGCAGGGCAGAGAAAGGGCAAGGGTATGCATTTCAGTTGAAGTCTCATCTATAGTTTAAATACAGTTATTTGGGAGGAACCATCCAGAAAGAATCAATCTGGACAACTCTTTATCCCAGAGGAATTGCAGATTGATTGGATTTCACCTCTGCATTGCCATCCTGCGCTTAATGCTTCCTACACGTAAACATGGAAAATTAGGTTTTTATTTATTTCTGGCACATCACTATTATTCATACACTGCAGAATAAAATATTTAAACAATAAAATGAAGCAGCATGCAGTTTGCAACAAATGGAAAAAAATGTTTTTGAATTCTACCAAATTAAGCATCTGCTTAACAATACATGTACCCCTTTCTTCTAGATTAGAGGGTTGAAATGAAGTTGATGTTGCTGTCATTTTAAAATTTAAGTAGTGATTTGAAAATTATATTAAATCTCAAACCTTTTTCTCTAAAGTAATTTAAGGAGAAGAATGGAAAATTGGGATGCAATATTTCTTTGTTCATTCTATATAGTCATATTAATGTTATCTGGTAGAAGAGACGTTTTACAGAAATCTTCCTTTACTATGGGCTTCCTATATATTATTTCAATAGGTGACATTAACTCACAATGTACTGCTCTTAGAAAGCTTTGAAAGTTAAGCAAAAAAAACCACTTTAGTATTGGTCAGTTTTCTCAGAACCTAGAAATAATAAGAATTCTTTTGTTTTCTGCAGCTCAACTGCTTTATAGTATGACAGTTCTCTTCTGATTCTCAGTTTCCCCACCAGTTAATAACAGAGATCATTAGTTAAAATAACTTATATTTATATTGTATTTTAAATTTTATGGGTTTTATTATTTATTACTTATTTATATTGTACTTAACATTATATTTTCAAGTTTACAAAGTGTTTTCCATTATCACATTATGATATAATATAGTATAAGCATAGTATAACAGAGCATATATAAGATAATAAAGTATAGTATATATAACATATATACTATATTGGGTACTATAGTATATAGTATAATATAAGATATATGATATAGCACAGTGTATTTTATAGTATTATATATAATGGAATATATAATATATGTACTAAACTATATATACTGTATGCATAGTTGGTTGATGGAATGGTTGGTGTCCTGTGTTCTTGAAGGGGCCCAAAATGACATCACTATGTTAGAGTCAAATTACAGGGTGTCCAACTGTGGCTAATCAGACCAATGTGAGGTGGGAAGGCTCTACCACAGATGGGCATAAATAGTCCATGTGAATATTTTGAGTGGATTCTCTAAATTTGCACATCTTGCATATGTGTGTGTCTGTATAGTACATATATATGTATCTAGTATATATACTATGTAATAGTATGGCAACTAGGTGACTCTGCAGATAGAGGGCTAGAGTCAGGAAGACCTGAATTCAAATCTGATCTCAGATATTCACTAGCTGTGTGACCTTGAGCAAGTCACTTAACCTTATTTGTCTCAATTTTCTCATCTGTAAAATGAGCTGGAGAAGGAAATGGAAACTACTCCAGTATTCTGACAAGGAAACTCAAAATAGGGTCATGAAGAGTTGAACAAGACTGAACAACAACATATATAGTATACTAGAATAGTTTATAGTATAAGATAATTATATATAATATCGTATTAAATAATATAACATAGTAATTGATGTTTATGTAACTCTTTAAGATTTACAATTTACTTTCAGCAAAACAACTCTATGAGAGAAGCTGGATCATACCTGCTTTACAGATAAGGTAAATGAGGCTCTTAAAGGTTAAGTAATTTGCCCAAAGTCACACAGGTAATGAATAGTAGAGCCAGGACTCAAAACTAGATCTTCTGACCCTGTGGTGTGTGCATGCCATACTACCTCTAGGAGAGCAGGCCATAATGGGAGAGCACTGGATTTAGGGTCATCAGACAAGATTTGGCTCCCAGCTCTGCATTCTGCTACCTGTGTGACCTTGAGCAAGTAATTTCATTTCACTGGGACCCATTTTTCACATCTGTAAAGTGAGGAGGTTGGGCAAAATGATCTCAAAGTTTCCTCCCAGTTCTACTTGAGCTAGACCAGAGAGCTTGGCTACTACACTCATGTAAAGCATCCCGGTCATACAATAAAAAAAGTGTTACCCTCAATATCCAACTATAATTCTTCCTTTATTTAGGGCTGTTAAGGGCCTGTGGCAGTAGAATGGAATTAAAGTCACCAGGCAAAGCATAATGAGCTGTAGGAGGCAAATTATTTTAGGTACTACCAAGATGTTGTCACTGGCCTACCCAGAGGAACTTGCAAAGACTCATTAGCCTACCCTAATAAGGACAGCCCCCTCAGAGGCTGTTTCTTCCTGGGGATCATTAGTATAGCCCTGCTCTGGCCATAACCAGGGAATGTCAGACTCTTGAAGAATCACATATTTAATTAAATTTGAAGAACAGAGAGGAAATGCAAGTTTTAAAGGTAAAATGAAGGACAGAGAAAAAATAAGTGGTGTCATAGGAGCTGTTTTGCCACTAGCATTGTGCCTTCAGGGGATGAGATTTAGACAATTATTTTGAAATTATATAATTCTCTAATGAGCTCCATTCTTCCCTTCATACCAGAGTTCATACCCTCACTGGATCACAGAATCTCCGATTGAAAGAAACCTCAGAGCTTGTCTAGGCTCTACCCATAGCTAAGCAGGAATCTCTTTTTCCAACATCCCCAACCGGTGGTCCTTTGGCTTCCACATGGAGACCTGAATTCAAAGAAACCCATTCCACATTTGGTCTATTATAATTGTTAGGAAAATTTTCCTCGTATCAATCCAAAAACTCTGTAATTGCTACCAGTTCCTCCTAGTTCTGTTCTCTGGGGTCAAAAAGAACAAATTCGATCCCTTTTCCACATCAGAGTCCTCCAAATACTTGAAGGTACTCATCAAGTCCCACTTTCCAAATCTCCTTTACCCAAAGTGCTTTAATGATTCTCATGTATATATTACCTTCGAACACCAATATGTGGTCTGCTCTAAGAGACCATGTTCATTGCCCCAACTTCTTTATCATCTCATACGTACTCTTCATTTAATTTCCATTCCAGTATTCTACAGGATGATACCCAAGTTTCCATCTAATGTAACTATATTCTTCTAGGAAGAAGAAATCAATAAAAAATGTACTGCTTTCCTGCATTCTACTCTTCTCTGTTTTTAATTCATTATAATTTCTTTCTACCTCTTTTTCTTTTCTCTCAACATACTCCAATCCTACCCATTTCTTAATTTCTGAAATACACTTGACTCTCCGACTTAGTAGCTATGTGGATGTCCAGTAGATTAATATTTCTGGGTGACTTATTAGGTTGCCTTCTTTTCTCCAGAGCAAATATTCTCACTTCTTTCAGCTGATTCTCCTATGGCATAATTTCATATCTCCTCTCCATGTTAGCATTTCCCCTCCTTTGGACTTATTTCAGCCCATCAATATCTTCTATGGACATGAAAAACAGAGTATTCTACTAATCTTTTCTAGAGATATTACTTTTGCATATTAAGCTTCACCCTCTAGTCCCCAATGGCTCAAATGAGCCATTGCCCTAAAAAGAAAGCTTCTTGGACCCTCTTTTAAGGAGTTCCAGAGACTCTGCCCAGAGCAGGAGCCATCATAATAGACAGCTCTACTCTACTGCATTCTGGAAAGAGCACTGGACTTGGAGTCAGAAAGACCTGGCTTCAAATCTTGTCTCAGAAATTTACTATCTCTGTGATCCTGGGCAAGTCACTTTGTGTCACCCAGACTCATTTTCTTCACTTGTAAAATGAAGTTTGCCTCAATGGCCTCTGAGGTCTCTTCCAGCTCTTACTTTATGACGTCTCTGACTTGCCCTAGGAGAGGTCAAGATGAGAAGAAATTCTGCATACAATGTCTCTGCTCTTGTAGAGAGAGTGAGTTCATTGATTTCTACCACACTTTTGCTCAAACCTATCTGCCAATATCAACCTTTTTATCTTTAAAGTATAGAGGGGAAAGAAGAGAAAGATGGGGAATAGACTCAAAGACAAGATGCAAGATGTATACATTTTGCTTAGTTTAAGTTGATGATCGATGCTTTCTTTTTTTCTAAAAACAATTGACAGGCTTGGGTTACATATCAAAGTATAGAAACATTTAGACATTGTCTTTATCCTCAAGGAGACTACAGTTTAATAGGAGAAACAAGGCAGACAACTATGATCCCAATAGAAACTACAAAAGCAATTATTCCCAGAGTTTGCAGATAGGGGAGAGTTGGTCTGGGGGTGGGTTGATGGGTTCCAGAACTGGTGAAATTTGAATTTCCTGGAGGAGGTAGACCTTCATTTGAATCTTTGGGGGCCTGTGCACAGAGCTTCATACTGCAGCATGTGTTGAAATTGCAACAGATGGAACACATAAGAAATGTATTTTAATTTTATCTTTAGCAACTTGGAGAAACCTAGCACCTAGTGTACTGTGGAGAGATAATAAAAGTTCATTGTCATGTCGTTGTTCATAACGTGGTAAATCATACTTGCTCTTAGGGAAGAGTTTTGGTATTTCTCCCACCAGGTTTAATAAGCATGTTTCATATAGGCACACCAAAAAAAAAAAAGGAAAGCAAAAATTCAGAATTGCCTCAGATGTTTTCTGAGCAGTGTACTCAGTTCTTTCTGTTTTCTTACAGTTTCAGTGGACACCAGATCTTCAATTGTACTTGTCTGGAAAGCAAGACCTTCAGCTTGGACAAAACAACCTGCTATTTCTGCCAGCATTTCCATGGAAAAATGAAAAACTATAGAATCTGTCCAATTTAACCCTTGTCTGCTTGTAACTTCGATCTCCAATACACTCATTCTATCTCTCACACCACAAAGATGTCAGACCCTGACCCTTCATCTGGATTTGTGGGCAGCGTGGAGAACGGAACTTTCCTGGAGCTCTTTCCCACCTCCCTGTCCACCTCTGTGGATTCATCTTCTGGCCATTTGTCCAACGTCTACATCTATGTTTCAATATTTCTCAGCCTTTTGGCTTTTCTGCTCTTGCTCTTGATCATTGCTCTGCAGAGGCTTAAAAACATCATCTCATCCAGTTCGTCCTACCCTGAGTACCCTAGTGATGCTGGGAGTTCATTCACTAACTTGGAAGTCTGTAGCATCTCCTCTCAGAGGTCTACTTTCTCCAACCTTTCCTCCTGAGCAAAATGAAAGAGAACACTCTGGTGCTGGAGGGGGTTAGTTGCATGTTATGGTGACTCTTGCAGGGCATCCTGGAAGAGGTGACTCTTTGAGCTCTTAGTCTACCCCTCATCCCTTAGTCTCAATTTCCCTTTTAATTAGCAGCACTTTTCATCTCTGAACATAATGCTAACACAAACAGCTTTAAGCATCTAGAACTAATACAAGGTTTCACACCCCAAAGCTGCCTGGCAGACCTAGATCTGTCGCTTAGTAGAGGGATCCATTAATTCCATGTCATTGGACACTCACATGCTCACCTGAAATTCATCTCATCTATGTGACATTGGGCTGTGTGCTTCTGGACTTCATCTTTTCTGAAAAACCATTTGACCAATGGGACAACCAAACTTCCAGTGAAATTTGTGCTTTTTTGCTATTCAGAATTATCCTGTTTTTCCTCAGTATTTGAAAGAACATTTTCCATGAACCAAATAATTTTTAAAAACAACTTCAGTTTGAATGTCCCGTGTGAAATTTCTAAAACTTTGAAGAAAGACTCCAAATGGTTAATTTAATTTAATTTAATATTATGAATCAAAATTATATTTGGCCAAGATTAGGAAGAAATTATTTTCTCATAGAGCAAAATAGAAATGACTGTGAGTCATGTATCAAATTCTCAATATATTCAGTCTCTTGGAGTTTTTTCCCCTACTTATGTATCCCAGATCGAATGCTCCCTATTTTTATCATTCTTTGTGAAGATAATTATCAATTTCAGGCATATCCCAACACAAATCAAAAAGCTGGACTCTTCTTTCATACCTATGATTCCCACCAATGGGAATTAAGCACATGGAGAATAGACTAAGCATATCATACTGTCATGAATTGCAACAACCAACTTGATTGAAGTGTGCTCATGTATTCAGTTTCATGCTCTTTACACCTTAATGCAGAATTCTGTAACGACTACAAGACATCAGGTGTATGTTGATTCACATTAAGTTGAAAGTGTTAGAAAATGAAATGCAAAAAACTGTGTATGTATTCTCATTCAAACCGCTAAGTGAATGTTACCTCCCTTTTTACTGTTGTCACATGCTATCTAGTACTGTGAATCAGAATTGCAAGATGAGGTCTAAAGTTGATATTTCTATAAGTGCAGGCTGTAATGACAGGTAAGTCTAGGCTGTGATGGTCAGACCAGGTGTAGCTGGAATCCAAGACCCTGTCCCTGAGACCTGCCATGTAAATGAATACAGGTCTTGCACATGAAAGAAATTAAACTGCACCAAAAAGGTAGCTGGCTCTTGAAGAGTAAGAATTTTCTATTTAAATAAAAGCACCCACAGCATAAATAAAGGACTACCACTACTCACTGCCACCAGGTGCCTCATTGTCAAGGTCATGTGTATACACATGGCAACCCAAATGGCCATTTCTTGTTCAATGGATATTTTTACAATCCTCTTCACAACCAGTTCCTGCTCATTTAAAGATTTATAATACTTAAATCTTAAAGGGATCTTCATAATCTAGCACAGGGGTGGGGAACCTGTGACCTCGAGGCCACAATGGCCCTCTAGGTCCTTAACTGTGGTCGTTAGACTGAATCCAAACTTCACAGAACAAATCCCCTTAATAACAGGATTCTAGCTAGATTTTAGCACAACCATTGGTTGGGCTGGACAGTCAAACCCATTCAGTCATGAGAATGGCCCCCAAAAGTGACCATTTGTTTAATTCAAGATTTTTCAGGGCATCAACCTACTGCTTATGTGGGTAAGTGTGGGAAACTTAGAGAATTTATTAAAGTAGAGGGCCTCAAGATTCTTAATTTTAAATATAGCTAAGGATAAATCAGGCCAAAGCCATCTTTAACTGACTACATGTTCATAAATAGCCCAGGAATTGTACATAGCTGCTACCTTAGGTTTTGTGAGCTTTTGCAGAAGTCACCTCTATTATCACAAAAAGTACAGTGACTCATGGAGGAGAGATTCAAGTGACAGAAAAAAAATTGAATAGAGACCTGCTTTTTATGCAAATGTTGCAGCTTCTCTCCTTTTGTGAATGCATCTAAGTTGGATGAAACACACAAACATATGTGTTTACAATATGGCAATGTCATCTCCATGGCATAGGATCATGCAGATTTTAAAGGAACAATTTTAATTACTGAGGAATAACATTAGATAAAGTGGCTTTTACATTTTTTTTTAAATCTTCAGTGTCACCGAAAAGTAATCATTGTTGCCTTTTTCTTCTAAAAGAGATAGATAGAAAAGTCCCTACTAGAAGAGCTATTCACAGAAAGAAACTACCATTCAAAGAAAGAATTGAATTGCCAGGACACATCCTGAAAGAAATGTGGCCAGCAATTATGATGGTTCATTGCATTCAACTTCATGTGTGATAAATAGCAGCACATCTGTGCACAATTAGTAAAAGACAAATTCTGTTTGTTCTTCCCACATTTGCCAAGGCACCAAGACAACTTGATGGGTTTGTTTTCAGAGTATTGAAGGTGTTCAAAAGGATTGGAAGTTTACCTGATAAATAAAAAAAAAATTGAAGCCCATATAAAGTCTGGTTCATTCTGTTTATTATTACTATGACTACTACCACTACTTTGTTGTTGTTGTTCAATCATTTCAGTCATGTCTGACTCTTCAAGACCCCATTTTGGAGGGTTTTTTTTGGCCAAGATACTGGAGTAGTTTGCCATTTCCTCCAACTCATTTTACAGTTAAGGAAAATGAGGCAAACAGGATTAAGTGACTTGCCCAAGGTCACATAGCTAGTAAGTGTCTGAAGCTAGATTTAAATTCAGGTCTTCCTGACTCCAAGCCAGGGCTCTATCCACTGTACCACCTAGCTGCCCATTACTACTAGTACTATTATGTCCATTTGATGGAGGTGATCTAAAAAAATTACTAAATATTTGACTTATGCCCTCACCTGGAGTTACTCTGGGGAATCTCAATCTGCTTGTGTATAGTTCAAATTTGGGGCCCCCTAGATGTGACCAAAAAGGTTTTCTTTCCCAATCCCATCCCAGATCACATACAAGCACTAAAGGTAACATATTTATTAGGTACAATATGGCCTCCCCCCCACCTTCACCAAGAAAATGCAAAGAAGTCAAAGAAGCCCATACACAAGTGCAGAAAACACAGAAAGAACTCATAATAACTTACAAATAATACAATTCTGTTCACTCTCCAGTGAGTATAACTTTTCCCCAGGGTTCTAAGTTTCTCCAGACTTAGCACCATCTAATGTTTTGGACTCCCCATTAGAGAAAAACCAAGACAGACAACAGATTGATATTCCAGTGAATCTCTCTCTTACCCCAGAGGGACAAACTTGGGGTCTAAGATAGATAGGCACCCCCGCTCCCATCAATGGATAGCAGCTAGGTGGTGTGGAGGATAGGACGCTGGGCCTGGAGTCAGGAAGACCTAAGTTCAAAGCCAGCCTCAGACACTTACTAGCTGTGTAACCTTGGGTAAGTCACTTAACCTCTATCTACCTCATGCTCCTGAACTGTAAAATGGGGTTAATAACAGCATCAACCTCATAGGTTATGAGGATTAAATGATATTTGTAAAGTGCTTGGCACATAACAGGCACAGTATAAATATCATCATCTTTAACATTATTATTTTATTTTTAATCAATCATTTGCTTTTCAGTCCATATAATGACTAACCCTGTATTCTGCCTCTGATATACGTCAGCCTCAGGCAAATTGTTAAGGCTAAAAGTAACTGGTAGAAGTAGAAGTAGAAATTACCTTCACTGACTGCAATCACAAGTTTAGATCAAACAGAGAGAGAGATATACACATATATTTTTCTGTAGGCAGCTAGGTGGCAGTGGACAGAGCAAGGCCTGAAGTCAGGAAACCTCATCTTCTTGAGTTCAAACCTGGCCTCAGACATTTACTAGTTATGTGACCCTGGGCAAGTCACTTAACTCTGTCTGCCTCAGTTTCCTCATCTGTACAACGAGCCAGAGAAGTAAATGGCAAACCACTCCAGTATCTTTGTCAAGAAAACCCCAAAATGGGAGCAAAGAGAGTCCGATGCAACTGAAGCAACTTAACAATGTATTTCTGCGTGTATATACCTATACACCTCCACGTATACATATATGTCTATACACAGATATACATATGTGTGTGCATACATGTGTTTATACCTCTACACTTCTCTTGTGCTCTCTCTACATAGTAAACAGCTGTCTACAGATAGATATATAGATATAGATATTCACATGCACACCTACATATAGTCAATTCTTAACATTCAAGCATTTAACTTTCACGATTTCAAGCATTTGTGTGATTTTATTAGTAACCTCATTTTCACTTTCATGTTGGCAACTGAGCATATTTGCTGCTATGCTCGGTAGAGAAAAAAAATGAAAGGCATGACACGCAAGTTAGTATCTGCAAAAAGGAGGAAAGTCTTCATAAAAGTGCTCATGAATCTGCTCCAGAAGATGCTAAAGTAACCTCTCCAGTATGCAATAAGGGGATTGAAAAAATGGAAAAGCAGCTAAGTTGTAGGTAAATGAGATAGTGTAGCATCCCACCTCCCCCACTCCCCATGCAGCTGGGCTCACTCCTGAGCATCCCAGCCAGGGAGGCTGCAGAGTTGGGGAAGGAGAATGGGCTGCCCCCATCACTACATCCAGCCCACGAAGAGTCGCACCAGGAGAGAGTTCTGAACTAAACCAGGGCCAGCGACTCACGCCAAGGCACGTGCTTTTCATGTGGGAACAGTTCAACAATAGAACAGAAAGGAAGATTGGAGATGTCAGGTTGCCCTATTACCTTTTTTACCTGGGGTTCTTCTGATGTCTGTGCCCCTGTCCCTCCCTTCTTGTCCAGTGTCACCTCTCCTCTCCCCTGGATTTTATGAGTTATTTCATGGTTACTGTGTTAAGAAAAGTGCATATTATCAGAATTAATACGTTGTTATGAAGAACTGTATCAGAAAAGTGTA